AGATGGAGAGTCCACGAAATTTGTTTCGATCGACAAATCTTTTTAATCTTTCATCAGTCGGTTTTAAAGACTTTTAAAAACTTGTTCTTGCCATTATCCGTTCTAGAATTACATTTCGAGCGAGTCGAACATATTTTTTACGTCCGCAGATTAGATTCGAGTGTCATCAACAAACTAATTAGAGGAGTTCGAAAAACGGAATTTTATATGCGGGATTCTATTATCTCTCCCACTGAATTTGTTTCTCGCAAATTGCTTTCGCTATTGGTCTACATGCATTCCTGTCGTCATTTGTTCTCGATGAAATTTATTACCTAATTACAAATCGTTGTCTGCGCGATGTTGGATTTCACTGTTCTGTTCGGTTTTATTGCTCCGTTGTTGCTGATATTTTATTGTTAACCGTTTTAGCATTCATTTTCCCGGATGGTAGTGCCGCGAGCTCTAGTGTCTTCGCTCCTAATTGATATGCCATCCACTCGAGTGGCCATTATGTTTGAAGAAGCTCCTTAACAATTATCAGAGGTCTCGGCTTGTTAGCCGGCACGTGGATATTGTTCTTTTCTCTCGATTGTTCTCCTCAGGACTATTCACTTATTACGCTACACTTGTAAACTGCTAATTTTCTGGATAATGGTAATGGTTACGCTGGATTATGGGTTCTGGTTTCGAGTGGGCATTGTGGTCGGAGCTTGGGAACGCTGCATTTAGTTTGTGGGATTTTTTCCTTGCTAGTAACGTGTTAAACGATCCGGGGTTCTGCAATTTTTGCGTTTTTAATACCTATTTTTCTACAATAGATAATTTGGAAACTTTTTTGCTATAAAATATTAATGTGGTAATTTCTTGGAAATTTTTGGTTATACAGAGGCAAATCTGCTAATATTTGATCACATTCAGTCAAAAATATTATTTTGAGATGCAAAATTAGTCTAAGAACTCAGTTTCATCATATTCTAGACTTGACTTTTTCCTGAAATTTTTGATTCGTAAAAATTAGAAATAAGAAAATTAAAAAATTGAAAAACTGACGAGCTGAAAAATCGAAAAATCTAGAAACCGAAAATCTAAACTTCAAAAAAACAAAGAATTAAAATATGGAGAACTGTAACAATTTCCAAAATTTAATTGGTAAAAAATTGAGAAATACTTGAAAAACTGAAAAAATCGGGATGTTGAGCAATCGAAATTTCGAAAAATTGAAATAATAAAAAAATAAAAAATCGGAAAATCAAGACATCAAAAAATCGTAAAATCAAACAATTGAAGCATGAAAAATGTACAATTTAAAAAACGAGAAATCGAGAAACCGAAAAATCTAAACATCGAAAAATCGGAAAATCAAAAAGTAGAAAAATCTAAAAATTTTGCGAATCGAAATACTTAATTGTATTGAAAAATCCCAACACTAAATTATGGAGGAATTGACAAATCGATACAACGAAAAATGAAAAAAAATGGAAACATCGAAAAATTTTAAAATTGACAAATCGAAAAACAGAAAAGTCGAAAAATCGAAAAACCGAGAAATCGAAACGTTAAATGATCGAGAACTCAAGAATGCCTCAAATTAAAATAATGGAAGTCAAAAGAAACGAAAAAAGAACCGCGACAAAAAATGCCAAAAAAAAGTGCGACAAAAAATTCAAAAAACAAAACGACACAAATGTGGACAAAAAACCTGACAAATTGACTAAAAATTGAGATAAAAAAGGTCTCCAAAGATTCAACAAAACAAGTGACCAAAAAGAAGGAGTAGATACAAAAATATGCGAAAAAATTGTGAAAAAGTGCAAAAAAACCAAAAAAGATGTCAAAAATGTGATTGTAACTAAACAGGAATGAAAAAAACACAAAAAATGCAATTAAAAGAACAAGAAAAGAAGAAAAAGGTGCAAAAAAAGTGACTAAAAGGCAACTAAAAAACAACGTCAAAAAAATGTAATAAAAAGCGCGACAAAAAAAATCGAAAATAAAGGATTAAAAACAGAGATTAAAAAAGCCTAAAAAGCTCCCCAAAAATTCAACAAACATGCCAAAAAAACTAAACATAAAAAAGAGGAAATGGGGGAAAATGTAACAAAAAAGAAATAAATGCGATCTAAAAATTGAAAATGCCGAAAAAAGGACCATAAAAATGCGCGAAAAATGTATTAAAAAAACAAAAAAGTGCGAAAAAGGCGATAAAAAGTGCAAAAAAATGCGACAAGAAAATACGAACAAAAAAGGTGGTGACAAATAAATGAGAAATTAAAGGTCACAAAGATGCAACTAAAAAGCGCAAAAAAAGGGCGTTAATGAAAACGAGGAAAAATACAACTAAGAAAAATGCGATAAAAAATATAACAAAAACAAGCGAGAAAAATGAAAGCAAAAAACGAGGCAAAATACGTACAAACAAAATCCCCAGAAAGGTGGCACAATAAAAGCAACAAAAAAAAAGATTAAAAAAAAACAAAAAGTAAAAAAAACCGAAAAAAATATCACCTGGTGAAAATCAATTTAAGGACGGACAAAAAAGGAAAAAAGACCCAAAAAAATGAGAAAAAGCAGCACAAAGGGAGAGAAAAAACGTGGAAAAAAGACTAAAAATAGAGACAAAAAAGGCCCCAAAAAAGGTTGCCAAAAATTCATCAACAAAATCTAAAAAAATTATTAAAAGAAGCAGTACAAAAATACGCCAAAAAATTGTGAAAAAACGCCAAAATCCGCAAAGACTTGGAAAAAATGCGAATAAAAGCCAACTAAAAAAAGAATAAAAAAAATCCACAAAACACAAAAAAATGCAATTAAAAGAGACACAACGTCATTAAAAACGGTCGAAAAACCCAAAAAAGGCTCAAAACATGCAAACAACTCAAAAATGGGAAAATATGGTAAAAAGTAATTAAAAAGGGGAACAACAAAAATAAAAAAATCGAAATCGAAAAGTTGACGAATTTTAAAAAACAGATAAATCGAACCATCGAAAAATTTGAAAAGTGGAATATTTATTTATTAATCATAGAATTGAGAAACCGAAAGATCTAAAACTAGAAAGCGAAAAATGTTATAATAAAAAAATCGAAGAATTAAAATATCGCAAAACTGAATAATCGAAAAACTGAAAAATTGAAGAATCAAAGTACTGAAAAATTCCTAAAATGAAGTGTTGAAAAATTAATATCTGGAAACATTGCAAAATCAAAGAAAAATTGAAGAATCCAAAAATTCAAGAATACCAAAACCTAAACATCAAAAAATTCAGAAATCGAAAAATATTTTTTTTGAATTCTGAAAAAAAACGGCTAATTTGACCGAAATCGAAAAAATCTTCAGCAACTCATAACAGAAGTGTATGCAAAGATATCAAATTAGCGCAGAAGTTCAATTGCAGACAAACCTATAGACTTTCATTTTTTCCTACAATTTTTGACTCGCAAAAATTTTGATCTTGAGCCACATCGCTCCTAATTCCTTATCCTGGCAAGTAGATTCCTGAAATTTGCTTCATTTACTAATTTGAGCTTACAGAATAAGAATCCGCACTTAGAGTTCGTCTCCGAAGCCTCCTGATTTTTTTTTGCAGGAATTTATATGTAGGAAAATGACATCTTTCTATTCATATGCTTGTCAGCAGCATACGGCTCACGGTGAAAAATCGTTCTAGCGCTACTAAAAACTTTAAAGAATAGAATTATGTGAACCAACAATCTCAGTCTTTAATCGTTTCAAAGCTGTGAGCTTGTAAACTGGAAATTTTTTTTTAGAATCCTGCAAAAACGCTATTTTCAGTGAAATCGGAGAAATCTTAAACAACTGATGGCCGAAATGGTTTCTATCACGCGAAATTAATCTAGAAATTCAAGTTCAGGTAGATTTGCAAATTTTCAGTTTTTCCTGAAATTTTGATTGGCAAAATTTTTTCTCTTGCGCCACATCCCTCCTATTTCCTTATCCTGGCAGGTAAATTCTTGAAATTTACTCCGTTTATTAATTTGAGCCTACAGAATAAAAATCCGCACTCAGAACTGGCCTACGAAACTTCCTATTTTTTTTTCTTTTGCAGGAATTCATTTATATTACTCATTGGCTGCACTTTTTTTAAATGATAGGATAGAAATATACCAAAATTTAGACCATTAAGGAACTTCACCTTGGTTATATGGAAGTAGAGCTCGCGTGATGAGCGAGATTTGTCAAACTTTTTTCAATTTTGAGTAAAAAAAACAATTTTGTGTGAGTTACGTCTCGACCCAATTACTTCCCTTGTTAAAAAGTGAGCGTGGCCCGGCGGAAAAATGTCGTCACGATGTTGAACATTCATAATCGAACACGTTCTCCGGTTTCGATCTGTAAGTGCGCGAATCGCAAGTCATCTGACAGGCAATAATTGATATCATAAATACAACGGCCCATAGTGTTTCGTACGTCATTAGCCAACGATGGCCTCAGCGGCACGTGGGTTCCCGTAAACTAATTTGTGATCTCAGCGGGGATAAACAAACACATCAGAAAATCTTAAATAACAGAATGACTGAACACATTCTTGCAATAGGGTCATTAGTCATTTTTTTGATACGTTATCGGGGTGACTAGGTGTACTTTTAACGCTGATTACAAGCAAAGCTACATCATTGAATATGCATCTCGCCCATGTTAGATTAAATTACGAAAAAAAATCGGTCGGAGCCGTTCTTTATCGGACTATTACGATAGTGTTTAATTGTGTCAGAGAAATTAATTACAGTCTTGAAACAATTGACCGGATCTTTTTATAACCCAGTTTTGCGTCGACCAACCAAACAAATAAATCACGCGTTGTATTAATGAGTCGTGAAGAAAGCCAACACTAAATCAAGAATTAAATTAGATACTGCCTATTACAATATCTTTCAAAAGAATTACATTATCTGATTAGCAAGTTTAATTAAAATTTTCTCAAGGATCGCATACCAGGAAGTGTCAGACTGGGCCGTTATTTCGACACACTTCCAAAAATTCTATAGACGAATTCATACCTTGTCTATTTTGCTCTTCTCGCTCGTTTTATTTTGCCGCGGGCTCGGACTCAGCTCGTCGTCCATGGACGCCATCCGGTTGAACTTCTCCATCCTCTCCTTTACGCTGATTTTCTCCTCCCCCTCTTCCTCCACACGTTTCGTCGGTGTGGCGTCTTCGTCAACCGACTTCTGCCTATCCGCCGCCTTTCGCCTCGGGGGCGCCTGTGGGGTGCCGTCCTGCGACATGACCGAGCTCAGAGAGATGTTGTCGGGGGATTGCGTGGGGGACGAAACGGGGGGCGGCGGTCTGTACGGCGGCGGCTGCCGATGAGCCGGGGATTTGGCAGGACTGCTATCCGGGGAAACCGGGATGCCTAGGGATAGTCTGGGATCATTAGGGGGGAACGTGAGAGTAGGGGTCGTGGGGGAGTTATGGTATTTGGTTTTGAGGATGAGGAACTTCTCGTCGCCTTCTGTCTTGGTTTGGGCTAGAGTGTTGACGTATTTTTTGAATTTGATTCTTGCGTCATCTGGAAGAAAAACATACAAGTGGTGATTTTTGTAATCACGGGAGAAGTTGTACGGGCGAGAACACCGCCAAAGATTACACTCACGAAAAAATAGGGTGTGACAATTCAATACCGTGGTTTTGCGCTGTTCACTACGAAACTAAGGCAGTTTTAGCGCTGTTTACCAGGAGATAAAAATGTGTAACCATGTAATTAAACAGGCGATAAAAGTGTATTTACATTACGTTAGTAATCCATAAATAAATCTGCAAAATGGATTGATAAACAAGGTTTTTGCACACTTCAAATCGGTCGGTGATTTTGTGCATTTTTCCAAAACGTTTTAATGTTAATTTATTGAAAGCCTCAAGTATTACTACATTATGGTATTTTGCAATAGTAACTGTAAAGTGAGTCGTTATAAATATCTCCGCTTGTAAATTTTTTAGGTTTAATAACTTGCAGACCTTGACTAATATTTGCAAACTATGACAATATCAATAAACAGACATCATTCCTGGGATGTTTACAAATCTGGTTAAAAAATTGTGTGTGTTTATAATCACGTGGAGAATGTGGTGGAAAAAACTAATTATTCTGGCGACCACCTCAACGTTCAAAAATTTCGAACTTTTCGATTTTTTATTTTTTAACGAACATTTTTATCAAAAATCGAGCCTGGAATCAAGAATAAAACGACCAAGTGAACAACAGAACGTCATTATTCTCTTTTTATAACCTCCCACATATATTGAATGTGTTCTCTGAATTTAATCCGTTGTAAACAACATTTTTATATTTAATTTATTATCATACTTATTCATTTATTTCGTAAAATATACCAAAAATAACGTTCACTAAAAAAATGTAAATGGATGTTCGTCACACGGAACTCCTACTGTATATTTTGTGTCAGTTTAATCGCTTGATGTTTATATTTTTTCTGATTGTAGTTGCGAAAATTTTTTAAAATTGAACTTTTGCACTTTGTTTTTCGAGAAAATTATATGTTGATGTCATGCACATATCCACTTTTTTACTGGAAACGTATTAATTAGTCATCACATTTATGCTGAAGTATTTTTCTAGTAAAAACGAATTAATTTGCTTAATAAAAACAATTCTCCTTGAAAAAAGTTTCCTACGAGTAAATGTTATATTTGTCAGTGGCGACTTTTGAAATGGGGGGACACAATTTGATTGATGAGTTATATGAGTTATATATAAAGATATAAAACAGGCTATGATTCCCAATTAATAGACGAAATTGTGTGACAGAAATAAATAGAAAAATGCATTCAATAAAAGTAAAAAACTATTTGAAAATTTTTGTTACATATTGAAAATTACTGTTTTGCTATGTTGATATTTATATTACTAAATTTCAGAAAAATACACAATATAGTTCTCGAAACAATATTTTTTGGACATTTTTATCCATTTCCATGATATAGGTATGTAGAATGCCAAAAAATTCAAATTGTCTTGTCAAAACGGTGCTAGCTGTTTTTGAATTTGATTTAGGTTTATTTTAAATTAAAGTAAGTAGTTGCTTTCAGTGCACAATATCACAACACATTTATTACAAAAGTATAAACAAAGCGTAATTTTAAGCCAACATTTTTGATAAAACAAGACGTAAATTTTTGGCACATTGTACATTGCACTAGCCGTAAATTTAGTTTTAAATCTGGCGTCGTTTCAAAGGACTCAAAGTAATTTATCTGTGTTGATTTTTTTTTTATACCAAAAAACCTCTAGTGTACTTACACGCAACTTTTTCTGTACATGGTCAAGTATACTGGGTGTCCCAATTTACCGGTTTCACTTTAATATCTCAGTTATTTAAAGAGATAGAAGTTTGGAATTTAAAACCGTTAATTGACACGAAAAATTGACTAAAATCAGTATAGTTTTATTGTATATCACCTTCATTTTGTGAGTAAATGACAAGTATTTTCGGAATATCGTCTACATTATTTTATTTTATACATTAAAAATTATTTAAATTTTATATAATAACATATGTACTCCTACACTTGTGGGTTATGAATCCGTCTTGAGGGTTAGTCACGTTTACTTACATTACTTGCAAAGAGTCGTAGCCGTGCGAGTTAAGGCGCAAATTGAGATCTGCGAGTTCAAATCCCATCTTCGTTACCATTTTTTTTTTTCTAATACAGTGAATGTGGTTAAATGTTTAACTTCAGAGGGTAGGGAAGTTCTGTCTAAATAACTTTAGGCCATTTTTTTAGTAGGAAAAAATCGGACCAAAAAAATTTACATCGATCGATAAAATTTCCCCATTTTGTACAGTATATTTTGGCCTTTTCAGTGATGTAACGTAAGTACGTACTTTAAAATTATCTAGAAAAAAAAAAAAAAAATAATATTAATAAGAACGTGGTGGCAGATTTTTCTTTAATTCTTGTGTATGTTTTATATGAACTGTCTGTAAAATCAACGTGTGTAAAATAAATTGAAAAACCGAAAATCTCAAAATGGAAACATTTTACTTAAAAAGAAATAATAAATCAAAAAACATCCAAATCTTGATAAATCGAGAAATCAAAAATTGAAAAATCGAACAATTTAAATTCGAAAAATCAATTTTAAAACTAGAAAAATTAAAAAACCGAAAAATCTAAAAGCGAGAAGTCGAAAAATTGAAAAATCGAAAAACTGAAAACTCGAAAAATCCAAATATCTAAAATTTAAACAACCGAAAAATTAAAATATCAAAAAATTTTCGTACCAATCGAAAAACTAAAAAATCGAGAAATTAAAACATCAAAAAATCGAAAAATTGAAAAATCCAAAATTTCAGAAAACCGAAAAAAATTGAAAAATCGAAAAAGTAAAAAATCAATAACTCGAAAAATTGGAAAATCGAAAAGTTAAAATAGCGAGAAACCAAAAAATCGAGAAATCGGGATGTCAACAAGTCGAAAAATCGAAAAATTCAAAGCTGAAAAAACCCGATAAATCGAAATCTGAAAATCGAAACATCGAAATCTCGATAAATGGAGAAATCGAAACATTGAAAACAAAAAAACTGAAATATCGAAAAACTGAAAAACCGAAAAATCTAAAAGCCAAAAATCGAAAAATCAAAAGATCGAGTAATGAAAACACCAAAAAAGTGAAAAATCTAAAATTTAAAAATTCGAAAAACTTGAAAAATTGATAATCCGAAGAACTGAAAAATCGAAAAATTGAAAAATCTAAAATCTCAAAATGGAAAAATTTAACAAACGGAAACGATAAATGAAGAAACTGAAAAATCGAAACATCAAAATCTCGATAAATCAAGAAATCGAACAATTGAAAAACTTAAAATCGAAAAATTTAAAAACCGAAAAATCAATTTTAAAACTAGAAAAATTGGAAAACTGAAAAATCTAAAAGCGAGAAGTCCAAAAATCGAAAGATCGGAGTGAAAAATCTAAAACTTAAAAATTCGAAAAACTGAAAAGTCGAAAAATCGAGAAATCCAAATGTCTAAAAATCGAAAACTTGAAAAATCCAAAATTTAAAAAATCGGAAAAGTAAAAAATCAAAAAATTGTAGAATTGCATAATCGAAAAACCAAAAAATCGAGAAACTGAAATCGAAATTTGAAAAATTGGAAAATCGAAAAACCAAAAAATCGAGAAACTGAAATCGAAATATCAAAATATCGAGAAATCGGGACGTCGACACGTCAAAAAGTTCAAGATTGAAAAATATAAACTAGAAAAACCGATAAATTAAAAAACTGGAAATAGAAACATCGAAATCTCGATAAATCGAGAAATCCAAACATTTAAAACAAAAAAATTGAAAAATCGAAAAATTGAAAAACCGAAGCACCTAAAAGAGCTAGAAATCGAAAAATCAAAAGATCGAGTAATGGAAACACCAAAAAAGTGAAAAATCTTAAATTTTAAAATTCGGAAAGCTAGAAAAATTGAGAAATCGACGAACTGAAAAATCGAAAATCACCAAAATCGAAAAAGTTAACTTAAAAAGAAACGATAAAAAAATCAAAAATCGAAAAATTGAAAAATCGAAAAATTTAAAAACCGAAAAATCAATTTTATAACTAGAAAAATTGGAAAACCGAAAAATCTAAAAGCGAGAAGTCCAAAAATCGAAAGATCGAAGTGGAAAATCTGAAAACAAAAATTTCTAAAAATTGAAAAATCGAAGAACTGAAAAATCGAAAAATCCAGAAATCCAATGTCTCAAATTTAAACAACCGAAAAATTAAAATATCGAAAAATTTACGTGCCTTCCGAAAAACTAAAAAACTGAGAAATCAAAACATCAAAAATTCGAAAAATTAAAAAAACAAAAAATCGAAAAATTGGGAAATCGAAAAACCAAAAAATCGAAAAATTGGGACATCGACAAGTCGAAAAATTCATAATTGAAAAATGTAAACTTAAAAATACCGAAAAATCGAGAAATCGAAACATTTAACAAAAAAATTGAAAAATCGATAAATCTAAACGCCAGAAATCGAAAAATCAAAAGATCGAATAATAGAAACACCAAAACAGTGAAAAATCTAAAATTTAAAAATCCGGAAAAATTGAAAAATCGATGAATCAAAAATTTAAAAAAAAAATTTGAAATATCGAAAAAGAAAATCGAGAAACCGAAATCGAAACATCAAAAGATCGAGAAATTGGGACCTCGACAAGAGAAATTGAAAAAAAATTTAAAACAAAAAATTGAAAAATCGATGAATCAAAAATTTTAAAAATCGAAGAATTGAATAACAGAACATCTAAAAGCCAAAAATCGAAATATCAAAAGATGCGGTAATGGAAACAAAAAAAAGAAAAATCTGACATAAAAAAATCGGAAAATTTGAGAAATCGAAGATCTGAAAAAACGAAAAATTAAAAAACAAGATAAATTAAAAGACTGAAAAATCGAAACTTCGACAAATCGAAAAATTGAAAAATCGAAAATCTTAAAAATCGAAAAATTTAAAAACCCAAAAATTGTAAAATCGAAAGATCAATTTATTAAATAGAAAAATTGAAAAACCGAATAATCTAAACGTCAGAAATCGACAAATCGAAAGATTGAAGTGAAAAATCTAAAATTTAAAAATCGAAAAATTGAAAAATAGAAAAACTGAAAAGTCAAAAAATCGAGAAATCCAAAGATCTAAAAGTTAAAAAAAACGAAAAATTAAAACATCGGAACTAAAAAAACAAAAAATCGAAAAATTAAAAATTGTAAAATCGAAAAACTGAAAAATCAAGAAATCAAAATTGAAAAATGTAAATTTAAATATAATTAATCAAAAAACTCGAAATCGAAAAATTAAAAAATCCAAATACGTATTGAAAAATCCCAAAACTTTAACATCGAAAAGTCCAAAAATCCAGGAATTGAGACGCCGCAACAAATCCACCTTCTTCTAATTATTATAAAATTATTTATTTTATTCACCCCTATGCGTAAAATATATATATATAGATAATACCAATCAATCTAAAAAAAGTGGATTCGTAAACACTGGTACAAGAGTATACTATTTTTTTAAATTTAAATGGCATTTCGTAGGGTTAATTTTGACGTGACGTCATCAAATTGTTGATGAGGATGACTAGATACATTTTAATATAATTTAATATAAATTGGTAAAAGAACAAATACCACATAGGAGTTAAGTTACTGACAGCAAAATACAACAACTGAAAATCGTATCTATTCCACTTGAAACAAGAAAGTTGATGTGATTTGCAGAAAAACTAGAACAAAAATAACACCAAGGCTATTTTCTACTTATTTCATAGATTTTTTTTCTTCAACTAATCGTACCAAATTTCAAGGTTCTATCTTTTCGAATGTCTGAGATATTATAATGAAACAGGTAAACAAAATTGTTTTAAAGATTTGAACCAAATGAGTTATTAAACTGGAAGGTAAACTGGAACATCCCACAATCCGTGACTATTTTATGGGCAAATTTAAAAACTGAAAAAAGACATTACATTCAGAAAATTTCAAAAATCCTTGAGAATAAATCTCCGTTGGAACAATATTTTCGAAGTAAACGAATGACTTTAAAACACTTTCCAAAAAGGGGACAAACAATCGATTGTTGTTTACCCTTTGAACAGACCCCAATTCAAAAAGTTTGACCACCTGGACTAATCACTTTCAAGAGCCGGTACATAAACACAGGAAACATCTATTGAAATTTTAAACAAGAATAGTTCAACAGGTTTTTCAATACTTCCACACAAAGGTATACTTTCCGTTGTTCTTTGTCGGAAAATAAGGACACTAGTGGGTAAAATAGGGGGCACCGTTTAGTATTATTCCCAAATAGATTGTTCTATATAGAATAATTATTATTACATAAATATTTAAAACAAAAACTATAAATAGGTGTACAGATATGTAGGTATCAAAGTTTAATTCATCATTGTTGCGATCTTTCACTATCTATATGATAAAGAAAACTTGTGGTGTATCCTGCCTTTTGAGGCACTTTGTACACAATTCAAACCCACCAATGACAACTCCTTTCACACGACTTTACAAAACCCGAAACGTCACAACATTCCCCAGGTGTGTCCACTCATTATTTACCAATTAATTCCCAATCATCGACTTATTAGTCACCGTTATCGCCTCATTATCACCTCGCGAACCCCAACCTTTATAGGTTAAGCCCCCAACCTCACCCAGCACTCACCCACCACCCGCACCAACCCCCTGCCTCCCTTACCCCATTCCCCACACACTCCACCCCCAAAAACCGCCACAACATTGCAAAAACAGCGAAAACAATTTGAATTCCACAGGTTGTTGTCATAACCTCGACGTAAACAAAGCCCGAAAACGCGCTTTCCGTCGGCAGAAGCGCCGCCATTTCGTTACCTTTGGATGCCGGGTTCGTTAAATATTCCTTGAAGTGATGAACGAGTTCACGGTTTTTAACCATATTTCCATTTTCTTTAAAATAGCTGTGAATTTGTTCTAACGTCAAATCACTGGTTGCCATGATGCCGCACCAACTGTCACGGTGACGCGTAAAATCACTAGCAGGCGAGGCGCGGCATGGCTGCCAACGTGGAGATTTGAAATCGCGGCAGAAATTGTCACTAAAACATTTATTAAACGTTTAAAAATCCACTGCTACCGCAATTTACCTTGAAACTTCATGTGACAACGCTACGAAGACTAAGTTTTTTTTAATTATCGTCAGACACCCACTAAATTGACGTTATAGTAGGTGATCGTTATAGGTAAAAGAATATCATTGTTCTTTGGCATTGCATTAAATTTAATCTCGATTAAGTAATTAACTAACGTGACTTTATGCATCTGAATAATGATCTGATTTATAACTTATAAGACACTGTGGTATTAGCTATTACTCTCCGGAATGAGGAAGTGATCTTTTATTTTCTTTTAATTTACATATGCAATCGTCGGTGTCATGATTGAGGATACATTTTTTTTTTTGTACAACCCATCAAGACAAAATTCGTCAAAATTATATATATTTTTTTGTAATTTTTGTCTGCTGATAACCTCTATATATAAAGTAGAAACCAGTGGCGTAAATAACACTTTTTTGACTTGTGTTTCAAGTTTAAATTTTTGAGTTTTTCAGTTTTCCCACTTTCGAATTTTTCAATTTTCGATTCCTTAATTTTTAATTTCTTCAGATTTTCGAATTGCAATTTGGTTTCGGTTTTTTATTTTCGTTATTGTTACAATTTTTCGCGTTTTCAGTGTTCCGATTTTATAATTTTTTGTTTTTTGAATCTCAATTTTTCAATTTGAATTTTTTCAAATTTTCATTTTTAAATTTTTCAGTTTTTCAATGTCCTGATTTTAACATTTTTCTTTTCTTCAATGTAAATTTTTTTCAATTTTTCGATTTGAGATTTATCGGTTTTCAATTTTTCGATTGTCGATATTTAATTTTTCACTTTTTCGATCTTGCCATGTTACAGAAATTCGCTGCACAATTTAGACGATTTTATAATTTTTCGATTTTACAATTTCCGGGTTGTCGAAATTTTTTGATTCGATTCGTTTTTTCTTCTCTTTTTAATTTTTTGATTTTTCAATTGTGAACTTTTCGAATCAAAAAAGTGTTTGAAAAATTGTAAATCTGGAAAATCAAAAATGGAAATCTTGTATGTATTTGAAAAATTGACGAAAGGAAAAATTGAAAAATCGAAAGATTAAAAACTGAGATACTTAAAAATCGAAAAAGTACAAAATCGGAAATTGAGACATGCAAAAATTGAAAAAATTAAAAATATAAAAATAGGAAAACGAAGAATTCAAAAATCCAATTTTGAAAATTTGAAAAATTTAATAAAAGAAAAATTATAGAATAGAAAGAAACATCGAAACAATAAGGGAAATAAAATACAATACATTGTGATATAAAATGGAGAAAATTAAAATTGAAAAATCGAAAAATGAAAAATTACAAACGTGAAAATTTGCATATCGAAAAATCGAAGAAATGAAAAACTGAAATATTTGGAAGACGAGAAATTGAAAAATCGAAAACATTAAATTTGAAAAACCAATAGACGAAACATTGTGCAATCAAAAAACTAGTGGAATAAATAAGTAAATCCATATTTTTCTTGTACGTTTTCTAACTAAAAAAAAATCTAGAAGTCCAAAAATCGAAAAATAAAAAAAATTTAAAACCAAAAATCTAAACCTAAAAATCGAGAAATTAAAACAACAAAACAATGAAAAATCTAAAATTTTAAGATCTAACATTTGGAAAACTCGAAAAATCGAAAAATCCAAAATTTAGAACACCGAAAAATTAAAATATCGAAAAATTGAAAAATCGTTAAACCAAAACATAAAAAAAATTTAAAACTTGAAATACCACAAAAACCTAACATTTAAAAAAACGAAAAATTGCAAAATTGAAAAGCAAAGAATCGAAAAATCAAAAGGAAGAATTTTAAATTAAAGAATCGAAATATGAAAAATAGAAAAATTGAAGAATTGCAAACACTGAAAATAAGTAAATCGAAGTCGAAAAATCGAGAAATGAGAATATCAAAAAAAAATGAAAGAAAGAGAGCAAACGAGAGAAAGAAAACAAATAACAGAGAGGAAATCAGAAAAAATAGAGAGAGAGAATGACAGAATGCACAAGAGGGGAACCAAGAAATAATAGAAGAGAAAAGACAAAGAAATGGAAGAAGGAGAGAGATTAGAAGAAGAAAGAAGCGAAAGGAAAGAAACGGGGAAAAATTGTAAATCTGAAAAATCAAAAATGGAAAAACGAAACAGTATAATGTGAAAACTCTGAAAACCCTAAACATTGGAAATCTTGTATGTATTTGAAAAACTGACGAAAGAAAAACTGAAAAATCGAAAGATTGAAAAATCGAAAAATTAAAAACTGAAAAACTTGAAAATCGAAAAAGTACAAAATCGAAAAAACGAAAATGTATTGTAACATCGATATCCTGGAAATAAAAAAATCGGAAAATCGGATAATTGAGAAATGCAAAAATTTAAAAATAGGAAATTGAAGAATTCAAAAATCGAATTTTGAAAATTTGAAAAATTTTATAAAAAAAAATTATAGAATAGCAAAAAACCTCGAAACAATAAGGGAAATAAAATACAAAACATTGTGACATTAAATGGAGAAAATGAACATTAAAAAATCAAGAAAATGAAAAATTAAAATCAAGAACTTGAAAAACTCAGGAAACGAAAATTGAAAAATCGAAAAATTAAAAGTTACAATAGTGAAAATTTGCATATCGAAAAATCGAAGAAATGAAAAACTGAAAAATTTGAAGTCAAGAAATTGAAAAATCGAAAACATTAAAGTTGAAAAACCAATAGACGAAAAATTGTGATATCAAAAAACTAGTGGAATAAATAAGTAAATCCATATTTTTCTTGTACGTTTTCTAACTAAAAAAAATCGAAAAGTCAAAAAATCAAAAAATCGAAAAATAAAAAATTTTAAAACCCAAAAATCTAAACCGAAAAATTGAGAAATCAAAAAACAAAACAATAAAAAATCTAAAATTTTAAGATCTAACATTTGGAAACTCTCGAAATCGAAAAATCCAAAATTTAAAATACCGAGAAATTAAAATATCGAAAAATTAAAAAATCGTTAAACCGAAACATAAAGAAATCGAGAAATTGAAATACCAAAAAATCAACAATTAAAAAAACGAAAAATTGCACAATTGAAAAGTAAAGAATCGAAAGCTCAAAAGGAAGAATTTTAAATTGAAGAATCGAAATATGAAAAATCGTGAACTCGACAAATCAAGAAATGAGAATATCAAAAATGAACAGCGGAAACGAGAGAAAGAAAAAAAATACAAGAAAGAAAATCAGAAAAAATACAGAGACGCAATGAGAGAACGCACAAAAGAGGAAACAAAGGACAGCAGAAGAGAAAAGACAAAAAAATGGAAGGATAGAGATTAGAAGAAGAAAGAGGCGAAAGGAGAGAAACGGGGAAAATAGAGGAAAAGAAAGAGATCCAGAGAGAAAACGAAAATAGATAAAAAAGAGGAAGATGATGAGATTGTAACATAAATTGGAGAAAATGAAAATTAAAAAATCTGGAAAATGAAAAATTAAAATCAAGAACTTGAAAAAGTCATAAAACGAAAATTGAAAAATCGAAAAGTGAAAAATTACAATATTGAAAATTTGCATATTGAAAAATCGAAGAAACGAAAAACTGAAAATTTTGAAAGTCGAGAAATTGAAAAATTGAAAACATTAAAGTTGCAAAAACAAGCAATTATGAAACCAAAACATTGAAAAAAGGAAAAATTGAAAAATGAAAAAAACGAATAGACGAAAAACTAGTGGAATAAATAAGTAAAGCCACATTTTTCTTGTACGTTTTCTAACTAAAAAAATCGAAAAGTCAAAAAATCAAAAAATCGAAAAATAACAAAATTTTAAAACCCAAAAATCTAAACCGAAAGATCGAGAAATCAAAACAACAAAACAATGAAAAATCTAAAATTTTAAGATGTAACATTTGGAAAACTCGAGAAAACGAAAAATCCAAAATTTAAAATATCGAAAAACTGAAAAATCGTTAAACCGAAACATAAAATCGAAAAATTGAAATACCAAAAAATCTAACATTTAAAAAACGAAAAATTGCAAAATTGAAAAGTAAGTAAGAATTTTAAATTGAAGAATCGAAATATGAAAAATCGAAAAATTGAAGAATTACAAATACTGAAAATTAGTAAATCGTGAAGTCGAAAAATCTAGAAATGAGAATATCAAAAAAAGTGAAAGGAAGATAGGAAACGAGAGAAAGAAAAGAAATAAATGAAAGAAAATCGGAAAAAATACAGAGAGACAATGAGAGAAAGCACAAAAAGGGAAACAAAGGACAGCAGAAGAGAAAGAAAGAGATCCAAAGGGAAAACGGAAATAGACAAAAAATAGGAAGAGGACGAAAAAGCAGAAAAAGCAAGGTATTAGGAGAAGATTGGAAAACGGAAATGAGAGAAAAAAGGGGAAAATAAACAGTAAAAAAGAGTGTAAAATAGAAGAATGCAAAACGGAGAACGAAAAGAAAGAGGAAAGAACGGAAAATGTCGGATAAGCGAAAGACAAAGAGAGAGGAAACACTGAATTGGGAACGAATATGGAAATCAAAGAGGAAAAGGAAGAAAAAAGAAAACGGCATGGGTGGAAGAAATTAGTAAGAAGGCAAATGTGAGAAAGATAGAGAGAGAGAGAGAGAGAGAGAAGAAATAGAAGAAAGCGAAAAAGAGAAATAGGAGAAAATACAGAGAGTGCGGAAGAGGGAGAGGAACGAAAGGAAGAAAGATACGAGGGAAAGAAACAGGCGAAAGAAGAGAAACCTGGCTGCTAGGAAAAAGCAGGAAGAGAGAGAAATTAAAAGAGGAGTGGAAGAGGAAGGAAAAAACGAGAGTAATAGAGAAAACAAGACAGTGGACAAATGAGAAAGAGGGATAGAGAAAAGAAACACGAAGGGGAGAAATGGGAGAAA